TACAGTGCTATTTTATTAAACAAAGTTTACATGTTTGTTGCTGTAATGATAGATACTACGTTTTCCTACATTTTCATCAAAGAAAATTACTGTATATTACAAATAAAATGACAAAAATTTCGGAGACTAGAACGGATTAATTGCATTTGCATTAATTTCTATGGGAAAAATTGCTTCGGTTAACGAACAATTCAGTTAACGAACGGAGTCGCGGAACGGATTAAGTTCGTTAACCAGGTTCCACTGTACTATTATTTATCAATTTTCATTGATAATATTTAATTAATGACATATTAATAATACTCTGATAAAAACAATTATAATTCAGCAAAAATATTGTAACATTAATAAAAATAGTAAATAGCCATGATGATATTACATTTAAAATTTACAAGAAAATTCTGAAAAAATAAATAAATAAATAAAAATTCACATAAAGTTAACAGAAGTAAACACAGATTTCTTCATCCTACATCCTTTTCACACTTTTAAACAGTACATGTTTTACATATTGAGGTGGATAATATATTAAGAGCCTACAAAAAAGTTTGACTCCACTGTAAGACTGTTCCTGAGGTGTGAAAAGGATGAGGAACAATGACAAAGTCCTGTGTTTCCTTCTGTTAACTTCATGTAAAAAAATATTTTAAAGAATTTTCTCATAAATTTTTAAAATATTGTAGTAGGACAGGGTTGTGGAGCAATGTAGTGCTTTTACCTTGTGACGAGGACGAGAATCCATCACAAAATGTGTATTTTAATTTATGACTAGCATATTACAAACAATTTACAAAAATTTATATTATCCTCCAGTATATTTCTTCAATAGTAAAAAAGTTTGAAATACAACTCTAAATTGATAGCTCACTTTTAACTATTCTGCTTCACAAAAATATACTACTGTTAATAAGGCTACTACTTTTTGCTACTTATTGTCATTTTTATCTAAAGGAAAAATCTAGCTTGATCCAATGAATTAAATGATCAGTCCTTCTATAATACAATTTTATGTTTAACACACAATATATAAATCAGAATTTGTGGACTAATTTAAATACATATTTATATCTGCAATTTACATATAATAAATGGCAATGCATTTTAATGAGGTTTACTAATCTATGATAAAAATCAAACAAAAAAAATGCAGTCATAATGTACAAAATACCAATTAATTTATGTAATAATATAACCAATGTGTCAAATCTAAAAAAGAGTGGGGGCATAAGTCAAGAAAGATATCAAGATCTATTAATGATGACATTAATGTTTGTCAACTAATCATAAAGATAGCCAAAATGGCTGAGTTAGTACAGGCATCAACCTGTTGCTCATATTGGTGAGGTTTAAGTATAGATCTGACTCTCAGAAATCTAGATTGCCATATTTACCCTATTAACTGTCCTTAAATTACATAATGCAAATATGTCTTGGTGGGTATGAGGACAATCATTACGATGCTTTATACTCATAGGATGGTAAGGCGTTTACAGAAATGTTAAGTAATGCTAGGGTCTCATCCCTTGTGTAACAGAATGATTCATTTTTGTTACTGAAGTTGTTGCATAGCAAATCATACCATTTATGTCACTCCTTAGTATGTTATAGGTGTAATTAATAATGTACCGTTTGGTATACTCTCTGCCATTTGTTATTCCTTAGTACAATTTGGGAATCAATCAAGGATATGCATTACATAATTTTGAGGGAAAAGGTATGTATGATAACATTTGGGGTAGGATGGTAGTTGAAAACTATAAAAATAGCATTACACAATTTATGAATGAGCTCTAATAAAAACAGAGCAATTGATCCAATTCCAAAACACACAACAGACTACCACGAAAAAAAATCATAATTATGTTGATAATATTTCTATTTAATTTAATCTGAATATATTTTTACATATTTACTATTAATACTTACAGATATTGTTATTGTATCCTTAATTTCTTTGGAACTCACCAACTGTACATTTCCGTCTTCATAATAATGTACCTATTAAAAAAATAATATAAATTAAAACATTTTTATTTAAAAATTTAATATGTAAAAGTTTCTCTTTATTTACAGGCATTAACTGAAAATCATCACAAAAATTCAATATAAACATTTTACATAATTCTAATCTGTTAAATAAGTTGTTATAAGTTGAGAATGGTCAGATATTTGAAAACATTTATTTTAAATAAAAGTATGTAATGTTATGTTTAATGTATGTAATGTTATGTAATGTTAAAAAGTTCGAAATTTTATGTTCTTGAACATTTCCAAAACAAAGATTCCCATTTAAATTTTGCTAACAGTTTACCAAACACAAAGTAGGCAACTTAGGAAGAAAACTGACAATCTGGAGATAAGCTGATGAGCATGATGTATCTAGAGATGAAAATTCCCTTAAAGACTTTTGAAAATCTTTATTATTACTTTATCAAGCTTAAATGTTCTTATGATCAGTACTATGTAATAAAATACGAAAAAAGTTTTTAGAGTATATTAACTCATATCATCAGAAGAAACACACACAAACACACACACACACACAAGGAAGATTATAGGAGCCAGTGCTTTTTAACTTATTTTGTTTTTTAGAACTTCTCCACACCGTCACAGATCCTTAACGTTTGATTAAATCTTAACTTCAAATGAAAACATCCATATATTTACATTAAGTATGCTGAAAAAAATTAGAAATCTTGATGTAAACATATGAATGTTCTCATTAAAACTAAATATTTGAACTTTTTCGGTCTATTAATGGGACAGAAAAGTCCTTAAAAAACTAACCTAGTAAAAAACACGACCCTTATAATCATCTTAGTGTTTGTGTTTCTCCTGAGGAAAAAAAACCGTGTTGAAACTTTTTCTCATTTTTAGACATTTGTTAAGTTAAAGAAACCATAGCTCTTTTAAATTTTCATAGTAAAATAGTTTCTTTCAAGTTTCTACTAACACTTGTAGTAACTCAACATTTCTACAGAAAAACACATTCCTCATTTTGTATTACTTGAAATTTGATAAAGAATGAACTTCACACTTTTTAATTATTCACATAAATATTGAGTTATAATTAGGGCTGTGGAGTCAGAATTAGGAGGAATTTCTGGCCAGAGGAGTCTGAGTCAGAAAAAATGTGTTGACTTCAGCATTTTAAATTTAATTAAGTTTTTTTTTTTATTTAAATGAAAGAAAATTTATTTTATATTTAATAATTTTTAAAAATGTTTTTGTATTTTGTTATAATTCATTTATTTTAAATAAAAAAAGCAGCAATTTAATTTATTAAATATGTATCAATAGTTTTCTTTGTATTATTTGTGTTTAGTAGTTAAATTATTCTGACCCAATTGAATTTGAATATTTTTGATTCATTCCTTTATTATCCCCACTCTAAATAAGTAATCTATTTTTCTGAATGAGCCAGACTAATTGATCAGAGCATATATTTTTCTTTTCTGAACAAGGGGCTGAGCTAGATTGCACTTTTTAGTTGGACTAACTTTTCTGGAAAGGTGAAATTGAAGTGCAAAAGCTGTAGAATAAAGATATGTAGACTCATTTCTCAACTGATATACANCGATTTTGACCTCTCCCGCGCCCCGAAAGGTTTCGAATTGTCATCAGGTGACGAGAGAGACCAATCGGAAAGAGGAATCTGAGAGAAAACGGACAAAACCCTGGAAATTCAAGGACGCAACGGCTTCTTCTCCTGAAAGTTCCAAGTGACGGATCTGTTCTTGTGTGTGTCTCGCACCCATCTTCGTCTCCATCTCCCAACCTCAGATTGACATCTTTCCATCAACGGAAGTCGACCGCATTGTCCCAGAGCCGTCGAGACATGATGGAATGGTTCATTCGCAAACAAGGGACACTCCTTCAAAATGGGACTATCTTGGAAAGGAGAGGAAGACCCAGAGGCCGCAGCCGCCGCAGAACTTCCAAGATCACGGAAATCTTGTAAGCTTCTTTCGTGTTTAATAAACGGTTGTGTTGTTTGTAAACGAAGCATCTATCTCTGACTCAACTGCTTCCACATGTCGTTGATTGTTACCGCTCGGCAATCCAAATGGCAAGGGAGACGACGACAATATACATCACACATTATCGTTCGAGTTTTTTTTATTTCTCCCCCCTCGGCCCCCACATAACATTGTCCCTTTATTATTTATTGTTTTTCTCTATGTATTTCTTTCCATACACTGACACTTCTGACATTGTTTTGATAATGATATGTTACTCTGCAGAGTAATATTTTGTCTGGTGGAGCATGGTGCTGCACATAAAGGATGCAATCAACAGACTTGGTTAGAAAATTTCAATCACCTGTCACACTAGACAAGACTTATGGCCTCAGCAGTAAAAAAAAAAATCTGGACTGTCTACAAGATTGCTCTGGAGTGCATAATCTGCTACACCTGTGAAGTATGATGGAAGGAGCCCACCAACATCAAACAAAGCAGTTCTACAGGTTATGGAGCACAGTTATCTACAGATGCAGCACTGATCTTGGCTAGACTATCATTAGCCTTTGTAGTCAACCAGGAGACAGTTTTCTACAAAACAATGGAGGGTAAAGATGCAAAGCAGATGTACCTGATTATGCTCAGATAATGATCAGACTTACTGAGCATTCATACTGCCAACTGGATCAGGCTCAACTGGGATGTTGGTGAACCAACACTTACTGATGTTGAAATCTACACCATCAGTGTAGATTTACACTGGCAAGTAGGCACTCAAAAAAAGGCAACTGCCAATTGTCATACTGTGAATACTTGGATAGTATTTTACTGTATAGTTCAGGGGTGGGCAAGCAAGAGTTCAGTGGGAGCCGAAATGTAGGTTTTGCAAAATGCATGGGAGCCACAGTTCTGTACTTTTTTATTCTGTACCACAGTTCTGTACTGCAATTTTATTATATAATATAAATATAATATAAAACAAATATTGAATTTTTTTAATTAATAAACATATTTTTACAGAATTGTGGAAATAAAATTGTAAAAATAATAATAAAAAGCAGAAATTAACACTTTCAGCAAGAGCCGCATGTAACTCAAAAAGAGCCACATATGGCACTCGGAGCCGCATTTGCCCATGTCTGATATATAACAATAATTTTTTTAATTGAAAAAATAAATTTAATTGCAAAGATAAAACATAAAAGGAAAAACCATTCCATTAATAAATCAATGAAGGAAGCAAGACTAAAAATAATTTGATCACTCAACTTTTTATGAATCTTTTTGCTGGATTCATAAAATATGATGTTGAGTGCATATGAGGTACAGTACATACACAGTATTTTTGAAAGGAAATGTGTGATAGGAGATTGTTAGAAGTTTGTAGGCAAAGCATCAGAAGCAAGTGCATAGTATATTAGTTATATGATATGTCATTTTGAATCTGCAATACTGTTAAACAGAAGTTAATTGAACAAAATTCGTGTGTGGAGTCAAATCACTTCCAATTAGCATAGGCCAAACATAAATTTTGTGCAATAAATTCTGCTTGGCAGTATTTCAGACCAAAATGACATCATATAACCAATTTACTACACACTTGCCCCTGATGCTTTGCCTACAAGCTTCTCCTCACATCTCCTACAGCATGTTTATTTTTGAAAACACAAGTATGAGAATTTTTGGATCATTATTCATGCATGTGACATTTATCTTATTAAAAAATAAAATTTTGATTGATTTTTGTTTTTAGTTTTCACGAATCAAAAACAAAAATCAATCAAAAGTTTATTTTTTAATGAGATAAATGTCACATGCATGAATAATGATTAGTGTTGCAACGAATAGTATATTCGGCCTCAGTCTCTTAAGGATCGTTTCCCAGATAGGGATCTCTTTCCCTGCCCCGCCAGATTGGCACCACAGGGTTGAGAGACTATGTCTTTCCTTCGTCATTGACTTACGGCGATTCAGCCGCTAAAATCTTTAAACGACAAAGCTTTGGGCCCTGTTGAACGTCCGGTTTCCCGTCCGTGGAACTAGGCCATAGCTCGCTAACGTGACATAGCTTTTAGGGTGTGCAGCTGACACTGCACTTTATTCCACTGACTAATTAATAGATCGTTTATTCTTTTAGATATATTTCGGACAGCGGGGTCCCCTTCCCTACAAGTAAGAGGGAACCCAACCCAGTGCGTCCACTAGGCACTCAGATCATAAGTTTATGATCATTTCCATCAATTCCTTTAGTTTCATCAGGTTTCCTTTACTAGCTGCTAGCGTTCGAAGTACTTGTTCAGGCGGCCGAGACCAGTCGACTTGGTCGGCCCCTCAGCGGAAATCCTCCGTAAGAGGACAGTCAAGTACGTAATGTCTCGCGTCCCCGCGAGAACTCCCACAGGAGCAGCTACCATCTCCTTGCCCGAAGCGAGACTTGAAATGGGGAAACCTCCCATGGCTGGTCAGTAATTGAGTCGTGAGCCTATTGCAGCATACCGGAGCGAGGCCAACTACAGGCACGAAGGCGTAGGTTGACCTACCTACCATACTTTGATTCCAGTGCTCTTGCCAGATGGTCATCGATCGTTTCCGCAAGGTACCTTTGATATAAACAGCTGAGGGTTCGACCGTCCTCGTTATAAAAGGACTGCTAGCTCCCGCCTTTGCTAGCTGATCGGCACACTCGTTACCCAGGATCCTGATGTGGCCTCGGACCCAACACAGAGTAACTTGTCGCTCGTGCCTCGCCCTCAGCACCTTGCATCTGATCTTGTGTACCAGCGAATCGCGATGGTACCCGTCGTTCAAAGTCTGTAGCGACGACTGGCTATCAGAGTAAACCGTGACCGGCTCTGGACCCGGATGTAATAGGATCCACTGGGACGCCCCCCCAAGGCCACCAGTTCTGCCTGAAACACGGACGCCTCCTCATTCAGTCTGACTGACTGTTCGTACACTTGCACTCCGTTACAGAAAACACAGAATGCGGCACCTACTAAGCTGCCGTCTTTTGATATTCGACCTCAGGCCGAATAG